CCCCCCCCCCCCCCCCCCCCCTCCTCGATACACTCAAGAGACTTTCAACTCGGGGCACACTAGAAAACGTGCGACTTGCATGCAAGAAAACGCTTCGTTGGACGCCACGACCAGTCACCCCCTGTATTCACTAAGGTTCACCTACGGAATGCTTACTCCATGTGACTGGGCAAAACTGTGACACACATACACATATTACTGTTTGACTTGTGCGTATGACTCTGGTCCATCCCCAGCGCGCCGATACGAAAAAACCGTGCACCACACGTGCGCCCCCTCCTCCTTCTTCGCCCTTACACCCTCTCACTTGCACCGAGCGCACCACCCAAACACCTCGCATTCCCAACCGGCCTATTTGGTTTATCATCCGTTGTCCGCGGCCGCGCGGCCGGCCCTGACGCTCTCCCTCAACCTCTGGCTTTCCCTCCGCACGAATCCCCTCACATCTTCCAGGTCGAAGACCCCGCTGTCCCCCTCTCCTTCCTCTTCCTCCTGCGCCTGCCCCCCCCCTCCTTTCCCGAAACGCAACGCCCCCTCCCCTCCACCAACACCGCTGCCGCCGCCACTTTCGTATTCCTCCAGACTTGGCGCCCCTGCCCCGCGGTAGTGCACGGCTGACCCCGCTTCGGCTGGAGCTACGCCTTGTGACGAGGAAGGAGCCGGGCGTCCTTCATGCTGTCCCTCCGCCTGCTGCCCCATCAACGTTCCGCCGCCGCCGCCGCCGCGCGCCCACCTCAATATGCCCCCTGAAAGAGAGCTCCCGCCTCCGTCTCCTGCTCCAGAACGTTGTTGCCGCTGATGATGTTCGTGCTGAGCTCGCCACTCGTCTGCCGCCGCCGCCGCCGCGGGCCTGGCTGCCGCGGTCCCGTCCCTTGCCAACCCGGAAGTCGAGGCACCACCACCGCCGCCTGCACCACCCGAAGAGGCGACTTGAGCGGCGAACTGGACGGAGCCCGGAGAGAGCTCCAGCATGTTGGAGGAGGAGGCCGGGGTGGAAGGGGTGGCGGGGTCGTTGGAGGAGGAGGTGTCTCGCTCCCCCTCTCCTCCTCGCCGCGAGACTGTCCTGGACATCGACATCCTGGAGGACATGTCCGCAAGGCAGTCCCTAGCTTGACTCAGCTCTTCTTCGAGTTTCGCCGCCTGTTGGTGTGGGAGGTTTGTTGACGGCGGGGTTCGGGGCGAATCAAGACGTGCGGTGATTTCAAATTCGCCTGCTGAGAAAATATTCGTTGGGGTGCCTGGCCCCCGGGGTTGTCGATAAAATGCGTACGACCACAAAATATCACGCACAGTGCGACACTCTCAGTTCCCGCCAACAACGCCATCACCATCAATCACGCACACTACAGGCGAGCGTTGCGTCCGCGTTGCCGACACACCAGGCCTTCCCAAACCATGCAGATGCATGCACTTGTGCTGTCTGCAGCTTCTACTATCACATGGGTAACCCCCGGGACTCTGTAGTCTGCATGCGCCACCTTGCTCTCCAAGCGGTCCTTCTCTCTAGCGAGCTGCCTCTGCTCGGCCGCCACGCTGGCTTCTCTTAACCGAGATGCCTCGATCAGCTGCTCCAGCCCCGACCCGTGGCTCCTCTCCCTTCCCAGGATGTGGGATAGCCCGTCCCGCTCTTCTTCTAGGGCCTGCCACGATTTTGTTCGCGACATCACCAGTTGCAGCAACAATTCATTGATTGTCTATTTGGCTCACGCAGCTGTCGTGGTGCCCGTGTGTTGGAATATGGACTAATGTTCTCACCAAGACCAACGGGCAAGGTGCCGACGTGTATTCTCCTTGAGATCCACATTCAAGCTAACAACGTTAGCACACACATCGGAGTCAGCTGCTCCGGGCCGAGCAATTTCGACTACATGCTCAACCCACACCCCAAGCATGCGAGACATGCGCGGAGTTGCGCTTTTTCGCTGCCTTCGGCGGTCAGCGGGGTTTGGCGTGACGCTGCAGTTCGGTAGCGCCACCACAAACACAGCGTACCAACTGCACCTCACGGCATCAAAGTTCCAATCGCGCGAAAGAGCGAGATACCAATCACGAGCCACGGTGTGCGCAATTCCAAGTGCCTCGGTTCACCAGTCGACGAAACAGCCGCAAGAAAAGGAAGGATGAAGAATTCGATGGAAAGCCTGTACCTGCAAGCGAGCCCTGAGGGAAATAACTTCCTGCCCGGCGGTGGTGCTGTGCCCCTGCTGGGACCGTATCCTGCTAGGAAAGAAAATTACACCGAAAACAGAGACGTCGACGTTTTGTTAACAGGCGGAAGAGCATCGAACAGCTACGTACCGCAGTGTTGTGCGTTATAGTGTTGAGTGAGATATCGGACGCTCCGACACTGATCTGCGGAGATCCTGGAGATTCCCGTAGACTATAGGACCTGCGCAGCGTGAAGGGAAAATCTCTACTGCTCGGCCGTTCATCGAAGCTAGACCACGTACCGTACAGTCCAAGCCAGTCAAGCAGTTCCGGTAAAAAAAACGAGGGTCGGGATTCTGAGCAGCAACCCAATGCGCCCGACACAAAAACACCTCCAAGTCAATGCAAAAAAAAAAAAATCAGACCAAAGCATTTGGCTGGATGTCGCCAAGGAGACCTCCCCAACGAGACACGCCAAAATTCAACGAAAATTCTTCAGATTCCTCTGGAACCGTGCGATCGCGGAAGCTCACCTCTCTAGCAAGGCGTTCGCGTGGTGCCGCTGAGCGCGTGCATCTGCCACCAGCCTGCGGTTCTCCCCAGCCAAAGCTTCCACCTGCCGGCCGCCCCTCAGCAGCTGCGTCGAGAGGTTTTCCGCCTATCGAGGGATTATGCAATGGGAGGAACGGCGGCACAGACGTTTGGCCGAAACACTTCGAGTATAGACGCTGGCATTCCCATCCACTAACACCATGTGTACAGGAAATCTGGCATGTTAACGAGAGAGGGGCTGACATAGCCGTAACGGATTCTTGTCTAACTACGCGGCGTGGGTGTGGCGGCTTGACGGGAAACACAAAGGAGGTGAACGAAGAAATCTAGCTGTTCGAGGAACGGCCATGATTAATTTACATACACACATCCATGCATGGATGTGTGCTTCGTTTTTCGTTTTTCGTTTGGGTATTTTTTTTCCAGCAATGTATAGACAGCAGAACTGGAAGGCATTTAGTTCAGATCACGCTGCTGGTGGCCAGCCTGCATCTTTTTCTGGGGAGAAAAAAAACGGATTGCAGAGATGTGCATAAAAAAAACGCATCGCATGGTTACATACCATACACACATCCATGCATGGATGAACATTAGAGGAAAAGAAGGGTGCCCCCTGGCCCGTGTGTAAGTACCGGCGGCCAAACCAGTACTCCACCGATTGAGTAATAGCTCGAGCTTGCACGAATGAGAAATGACTAACGAGGCAAAGTCTGTTCGCGCGTGACTTTGTCAGCGGTAGGAGTACCTACAACGGTAGATCTACCTTGTCCCCCTCCAGAGGTAGGACGCGCATCAACGGATGAACGCCTTGGGAGACGCTGTTTCGAAATACATATAAACTACAAGTTTGCTGCTGACGGCTTTCTCGCCATTTCCCGCAAACGTTGCGGCCTTAGGAAATTTATATCGACGTGCGTCTAGAACAATCGAGCAACAGGCGCATCTTGAACCAAAATCGTACTTTATCTGGGCCATGGGAGGTCTTCACCAAAGTATCGCCGCGATCCGAGGTAAGGTCGCTCTAAGTTACATACTCGAGTTGGCATCCGCGTAGGTTCATACTTCTTCAAGTGGGTTATGGGTTATGGGCAACAAGTCGTTTATGTACTTAGAGGTTGACCCTAACCTTACAGCTAGGGTCGTTCAAAAGTTGGTGCGTAGACGATGATGATGACAAGATTATTAAAAAAAGAAAAGGTCAGGAACGCCCCAATTTTGTTTTTTTTGGGAGATTGTAGGCGAAGTACGGGAACTCCAAGTGCCTTGGTTCTAGTGTGGGACCCCCAAGTATCTTGATTTTAGGGTTGGTCCACTCTTATACTTGCTTTTGTATGCGGGGATGCGACATGGATTGTTTTTCATAGTGCTCCCACCCCCTCCCTTCTGGAAAGGGGTCAAATACGGCCATTTTTGGCCTGACTACTTTTTTGTTAGCCGGTGGCCCATGCAGGGTAGTGCGGAAGCCAAAAATAAAAAATGTATTTCAACCCGAAGGGCGCTCAAGGTTTCAACAAAATTATCGCCGAAGACATCCGACACCCTCCCAACATAACCGACTAGCCATACAATGTATAGATACAGGAAGTATTGTTTTTTTCCTCATCCGAATTTTCAGACTCCAAGGTGTACACCTGTTTGGCAAATGACAACAAAGGGACTCATGCAGCCCAAATCGCTCGGCAATGTGCGGCCTTATACAGGGACCATATGCTGAAATGTAACTAAATGCATTTCCGTTGGGAGGTAAGGTTTTTCTCACCAAAAAAGCCCTCCGTTGGTACCGAAACACTACGAAGCATGTCGAACAACATCCAGCAATTATTGCGGGCGATGCGCCCGACCCCAGCCACAACGTATCGCGAGTGTGCTCAGCGCGACTCTCAAAATAGTGGAGGCGAAACGAACGCACTTAAAAACCAAACATCCGTACGCCATACCTGTCGCTGAACGGCTCCAAGATCCGCGCTCTTGCGCTGCAGCTCGACTTCCAGGGCCGTGATCGAGGACCTCAGCTTTGACACCTCAGAGTCTCGCGCCGCCAAGCTCTTTTTCGCGGAAATTCAACGAGAAACACACACGATTCCTTGTTTCAAACTTGGGAGGAATAGAAAGGAAACACCAACACCACGGCAGGGTGCAACAAGAAAAAGTACTCGGGCAAATTTCCAACAGAGGAACCAGCAAACGATGGGAAAAAAACAGAAAAAACAATTGGATTGAACATAAACGCCAGAAATGGAGTCCACCAACTACGATATTTACTTGTGGAAGTTTGCAAGTGGTTGAGAAGATGTTCATTCAGTATCGCGCCAGTCCATCTTCCTCTCTTCGTCTTCCGAGAGGGTGACTGGGGAAGATGGGAGGTGGGGGCTCCAAGACGCGAATTGTAAGCGAAACGTTGCACTTGTTCGAGCATCGTGAACGAGAGCTTTTTCGGCTTGTGCAAGTCAACGTCTCGCCTTCGAATTATTCCATGGGAGCAAGAAAGATAAAAAAAAAAACCACAAAGGCCAAAAAAGCAAGCAACACAAAAAAATGTGACGATGATGCGAACAAAAGAGGAAGAAACACAAGACGGGCAGTCATGAAAGATGGGACACAAGCGCGAGTCTAATCCGCGAGCAGAAGCAGACTTCTTGTTGTCCGACCAAACACGTTTCAGGTCACAACGCCGATACGTTGTTAGTTCAGCCCTTCGTGACACCTTCGCGAAGTGATGGAGTGCGCAAAAACATAAATAGATTAGGTATATATTCCTGCGGACTCCACCATCCATCTTGACGCAGGCGCACATCATTCACAGCCTGCAAGGCACACCTTGGTGAGGCGTTGACGCGTGAGCTGGAGCTCGTCTATCCCCGCCTCCAACCGCCTCTTCTCGGCGTGCAAACCCCTGTAGTTTTTAAGCACGTCCTCCTTCTCGAATTGAGCCGCACGAGCGGCCTGGCCAAACCAACCAAAGGAAGGAAGACAAGCGAACAAAGACGTTGAAAAAGCGGGGGGTACGACAAGGAGAACAAAACGCGGTGAGGCACCAGGTGAGGCGCTCTGCATGTGATGCAGAAGAACTAAATTGGCGAACTTTGCCTGTGTTGCGATCACGGAGTCGTGACACTTTTTCGTGGTACCTTAAGGTAGGAGCTAAGCGCGAAATAAGCCTCGTAACTCTGTCCAAATGAAGCCATGAAGCTCCGTGACTGCTGAGAATCTGAATGATGCCACACTTGTGTTGTCAAACCTGATAGTGGCCGGCATATTGTCTAGCGTTTGGTGCCTGCGTGTCGTACATGCCTACGGAAAGGGAAGCCACGCTCAAGAAGCGTATCCACCCATGCAATGCGGAGGATTCGCTGTTCAAAACGCGCACGCACACCTGCTCGGCCGTGGACTGGTTGTGGACGGCGTCCCCGAGCTTGCGGCGGCCGTCGTCTCTCTCGGCCACTAACCGTGTCAACTCTGACGTCACCGCTTGGTTCTCCTTGGCCATCATCTTCACAGAGATCGAAGAAGAAGCGACACCAAGGGGAGTAGAGACAACGATTAAATATAGCCATCAAGGGGGCAACCGGAACGTATTCCGGTGTGTTCGTGCAACAAGGGGACAACGATTAGGTATGGGGTCATGTTCCAGACGGGAGACGTGGGCTGAGACCTGGTTTGGTGATGAATGAAGACAGCTAGAATACCTTCGAAATTGCAAGCGTGCACAAATGGAGACGTACACGTGCTCCAAGTGTTTTGTGAAACCAACGCATTGCACGTCCACGCCTTCATCCCTCGCGAGCTCATTACTATTGTTCTAACAGATACAATCCAACACGACTACTGTGGCAAAACCAACAACAACAGCGACAGCAACAGCAGTAGTAACGGCAACGAAGACAACGACAACCTCCAAGTCTTCGGTCGCCGCCGCGAGCTGCCCGGTTTTGGCCTCCAGGGCAGACGACAACGCCTCTGTCTTCTGCAAACTCTCCGCCGCGCTCTCGCTCGCCTCCTTAGCCCTTGAACGACAAAACATAAAGGAGAGTTACAAAGGAGGATGTAGACCAGTCCACGAAATACGCATTTCGGGTTTTGAAAATCTTCACGTGCGAAAGGGCTTCATAGAACCCCAACAGTCAAGACAGAAGGCCACAGACCCTTCCGCCAAACAAAACTTTGCAAAATCATGTGATCAGGCAGCACAACAGCAATGGATCCGTGGGCACGTACACATGCAATACCAGGGGGGCGCCCAGAAAGGGAGAATGGAGAGAAAGAGAACCGGATTGATGGTGTGGCGGTTTCGAAAGTATCCCGTTGGCCAAATAGGCGCCTCAACACACAGTGCACACTTGTGTTCGCACCGCTGTCATCTCCCCTCCTGCCGGAGCCGACAGATCGATCATGAGTCGCAACTCAAGCTCAAGAGGTTGGCTGCGGGGTAGCTCTGGCATAGCAAGGCTGTTCAGGGGGGAAAAAATCACGGAATCTCCGTTCTTTTCGCTTTTCCTACACCAAAAGTGACCATATATGTATATCCACAGATAAAAGTCCAGGAGATTGAACTATAGATCCATAGTGAATACGAATGACTCCTCAGGAGCGAGGTCATGAGAGCCCAGCAGTGTTATCAAAGTGGGTGATGCAAATTGAAAAGAAAAGCAGGCAGTAGGACCAATCCACAGCCGGCTGCCAACTGTGGTGTGACGCGTCCCAACCTCAATGGTTCACACATCTGACGTGCGGTTCACTCGAAGAGCCCAGCGAAACTCAACGAACCAAAGATAACGGTTACAAATTTGAAAAGCGTTTTACAATCGGCCAGCGCGTCCCCTGATCTTCGAGAAGCATACAGCATATGATATCTCCACGTTGGCTGATACATGCAGCACCTGTATGTTCGACTGGCACACTGTGTACGGGACAGACGATGCATTCACATGGCTTGGGCGGGTCATGAACAGCAAGGTGGTTCGAGAAAAACACGGTTTGAAGACACGCACCTCCTTTCCGAGTCTTCGAGTGCTCGTTCGAGATCGGAGCACCTTGAGCCCTCTTCTCTCAGGCGCTCCTCCGCCTCTTCGACCTGGAGACAGCAACGCGACCACGCGGGGCTTTCTCACAATACACAGGAACAGTGGCGTCATACTTCACAATTCGAGGTAGCAGCAACATCACCTCCACGACGACCACCAACACCAACAGCACCAACAACAAAAACAACGCCATCCATCATCATCATCACCACCAACGGCAGCTTCCAGAAACTTTTACTGGCCTGCGAACGCCAGCGCGCGCCGTCCGTTCGCAGCTCTGCCATTTTCTCACTCTGCTTGTCCAGAGTATCCTGAGGGTGCAAGGGAAACAACAAAGAGGTCACCGAGGCTAAGCACGTCACCGCTTCGGACAACAGCAGCAGCGGCGGCGGCAGCAGCAGCGGCAGCAAGAGCGACGACAACGACAGCGTGTATAGTGCTGTTGCAACAGCATTCGAACATCACCACTCTCGTACCTGTTCACACTTACAGAACCCGCCGTATGACAACCGACAACGTTGCCCAACATTGGCATCACCACGACCACCGTCACCATGCTGAAGCCAACCACGAGAACAACAGCAACGGAAAACCACGACAACGAAGGAAAGAAGCTCACTAGAGCAAGGAACCCGCAAGCCACTTTCACCTGCAGACGATCGCGGTCCGCGTCTAGCTCCGTCAGCGCGCTCTTCAGCTGCGCCACCTGGCCAACCAACCACGCACATCAACAACGCCGTCAAAGGCTGAGAGACGAGAGAGAGAGTCGAAGCAGCAACGAATAGCACGCGCGCTATTCCTCGGATACTGGCGACACCGAAGAAAGAAGTATCTCCGGTGACACCCCACTTACGGTTTGACACACGGAGACCGAACGGGTAAACAACTGGCGCGGAGCGAAGGTGACATGGACTCGTGGGGCGCAAAAAGAACAGATTCCGATATGCGGCCTGTGTGCGTTCGGAGAACCAGCTCCCGCCAATAACGCGCTGGAACTCCTCGCAAAATATTGAAAATGAAACGTGGACGGGGCATTGCGTATAGAAAAACCACGGTAGTTCACGCGGCATGTATTGTAAAAAAACGTGGAGAAAAATTAGTCCATGCAACACGCTCTGGTAGCAAAAGAGCATCTTGCACACCCATACACTACGTGCCACCGCTTTCACAACCTGGGAGATACGAAACTCAGACCCCCGCAGGGGTCAATGTTTTATGAGATCTTGACGATATTCACAGCAGGGCAACAGTACCAAGCAGAAGCCAGACACGAACCTCTGCTCTGGCAGACTCCGCTTCCCTCTTGGCGCTGTCCCCTGCCGATAACGCCTGGCCCACTCGTAACTCCGCGTCTCGGAGGGCCGCGCGCACCTCGTCGCTTGAGGTTTTGAGCGCTTCCCTGAAGCAAGAGAACAAGAGAACAACGTTCCATTTTCGCTCGTCGATGGTCGATTGATAATTTACTGTCAGATCGAATATTTACTCCGTGGTCGCCACATGTTGGCCTATCCCTTGTAGCAGGCACGAAGTTAACCCCAGGACGGAATAAAACCCAAAAAATTATTTGCTCATCCGCTTCCCCAATCAATATTGTGGTCATCCGTATCCCGCACCCTTTCCAAATCCATACAATCAAACCACCGCCCTCTCCGGTCTCCTCGCGCCGCCTTCCGTACACACCCTTGACGCCCCTTTTCGCCTTCGTCGAAACGCACATTGGCACGAGAGTGCTATTGGCGGGAAGAATAGAAGCACGATAACATTGCCTGGCGACGACTCATCACCTGGACCCTTCGAGCTGCCTGGCGAGGGCCTTCAGCCGCCTGACCTCGTCGTCCTTGTCGGAGATGGCTTCCCTGGACACCACCACCTGCTGTTCCAAGGCCGCCATGCTCGACCTCGATCTGCACAAAAAACAACAACAACAAAAACGAAACACGAGGAAGAAGAACAGGGCACGTTCACGACCGAGAGGAACGAGCTGCGTTAAGGGGGTGAGCTTGAAGTCACGGACCATTAGTCTCGCCCTGGGTCTGAGAAACACTTGTGTCTCACGGGGGTCGAAACTATTAAGGCTGATAAGGGGAGTGGCCGGAGTAGGGGACCCTGCCTGCTTCGCTCGAACGGCAAGCGTGGCCAATGATAAAGTGACCAAGCCACACGACTTTCATACCCCTCCGATGAAAGCAAACACCCGCGAAGTTTCATGCCAACACTCCCCATCCCCAACAAGACCAACACGTATCACAATGCGTGGACGAATATATTTGCAGATACTCGCCCCCCCTAGTCCGACCTTTCGGCCTCCGCCTCCATCCTCGCGAGCATCCCCTCCCGCTCCGTGGACTCAGCCCTGGCCACCGCCAGCGCCGCCCTAGAAGAAGCCAACTCCGACTCCAAGCCCTCGAACCCTGCACTGCGGTGAGATAGCCGCGTCGCAAGACGGTCGGCCTCGTCTCTGGCCGCCACGGCCTTCGCAGGGGAGCAAGGTGGGGAGGAAGGTTTGTATGACACTAGGATATTGTTGGCAGCCTGAATGGCTACTGGGTGGGCAGGATCAATGGTGTACGGGGTAAGAGAGAGGCTTCACGATAAAAATACTGGCAGATGAGAACGACAGCAATGCAGCCAAGGGATGACTGTAAGGAACACTAGGGCTATTCACACCAGTCGGCATCTGCAACACCGTCGACACATTCCGCGTCACATCCACCTTTACCACCAAAACACGCCCAGGCATGTGGGGCAACTGGTCGCTAGGTGAAGGTGAGAGGGCGGGCGGTGCGTTTCAGTCAGCGCCACCAAAGGCCAAAAACACTATTGGTGGGCTAAAGCGATTGCCTACAAGCACGATGGCCACAACCAACAGCACAAGCGGCAGCACAGCAAGAACCGGCCCACCTTTCTTTCTTCCGCTAACAGGGCATCCGTGAGCCTGCCGACCTCAGCCCTCAGTCCTCTAACCTCGTCGGTGGCCTCTTCCACCCTTGCCTGGAATAATTAACCGGAGACACAAAGGAAAATGCCTAAGAACACGTCTCACCAGGGAGAGGTGTGCTCGAAGTGAAAAGTAATGAATAAGAACCCGTGAACAGATGTGTAACTTGGTGTGTCACAAGCAATATCAAAATGAAAAAAAACGTAACGTACAAAAAAAACAACAGCATCAACAGCGAAAGCAGCCGTGATTCACACTTTTGAAACACTGCCAGCACGACCAACTGACAGGTGCTCCAAGGCAGTTCACACTTTCATGCGCACTAGAAGGTATCCCGACAGCGACTGTCGTCCTAACGATCTCTTACGTCTGCAACGTCGATGGAGGAAAAAGGTGTGATGAGGATAGACAACCTGTCATTCGAAAAATAAGACTCTCCGAGCAGGAATAACACAAGCCAAACACATCATGCCAAGAAAGCGTAGATGCAACAGCAAACACCGTATCAGGCTTCGCTGCATGCCTGGAAAAAAACGGCAAGGCCGCCCACCACCCAGAGTTCGACTCCCACAAATACAAGCTCCAACAACGTTTTTCAGCAGACGTCCACCACAAGCTCCGCGAGAGAGACGACGCCACCGACGCCGTCCGTCTGCCGACCTCGCACGAGCGACCTCGAGCCCGTGCATGCGCGTACCCTTCTCGGGCACAAAAAAAAAAAGTTTTCCAGCTAACCAATTCACAATCCCGAACAAACGGATATATTAACAAATTCCGTTGGCGTGCGAAGAAATATACTGATTCACACCGAAGACGCGGGTTACTGAGATAAATAGAGGCAGAAAAGAACCAACATAAGCACAGCAAAGACGAGATGCGTTTGGCTTCATTTTTCACCTGGAGGGCCAGCTCCCCTTGCGCTATCGTCGCCGTCTCAACCGCCCCCCTCGATAACGCCCTCTGCGCCCTTGAAACCTCCTCCTCCAGAGTCCGCTTTTGCTCCAGGAGGCTGGCCACGTCCTTGTCTCTGGCCTTGAGGTCGGCCTTGAGAGCCGCAGACTCGCGCTCTAGAGCACCCACTCGGCTCTGTGGTTCGGGTTCGGTTGGGTTCGGTTGGGTTGGGTCCGGTTGGGTCAAGATAGATACGTGGTGGTCATTGGGGTGGATGAGGGATGCAGGTCGTGTTGTGATAGAATATTGGTGGTTGTTTTGGTGGGTAAGGGTTAGAGGCTGTGTTGAGCTGCGTTGAAGGGATGAGCAGAGTTGGGGTTGTGATATCAAAGGGGCGCGACAAAGCACGTGATGAGTCGAGTGGTCCTGGACGCCGGGTTTGGCTGTAAGCCAAGGCTGGGAACTTAGAATTTACGTCGGTTTGCATCTGGTCGATCAGAGAGGAAGAAATTCTCTTGTATGTCAACGGCAGAGGTCGCAATAACCCACCGACTGCGCGAAGTGCTCGACGCCAAGAAGACTGCCCTGTCCAGCCAAGCGCTCCAGCTCCTCGCTCAGGGCATCCCTGTCGTCGAAACGAGGCGGGAGCGAAGGAAGCTTGAACGTCTGGTGGAGCGTACACTTGTCGCCCCAAAATATGCTGTAGTGTTGTGGGGGGGGAAGCATACCGCATGGCACACACACACACACACACACACACACATGGGAAGCGTTCCCCGTTCTCCTTTTATTTTATTTTGATCGGTCTTCTCGACGCTCTTTCTCGTTTGGTGCGGTAGCTGGTCTTTCTTTCTATCATTTTGTTTCTCTTCCGAGTGGTTTTTGTACCCTATTTTTTTCTGTTTCTTCGTGGGGTCGTGTATGCCGGGTTTTGAGACCACGGGCTCCCAATCTTTTTTTTTTTTAGAGCTAATGTGAGAAACAACAACAACAACAAACATACCGACGCTTCCAACCTCGTCTACGAAGGGTACACTTCTTGCCCCGCAAGCAAGAGCGACATTCCTCCACCCAAAACAAACTCGAACGGAATACTCCTCTCATCCTGCCCCGGTCCGCGATCACCTTCCGTAGGTCGCACAAGATATCGCACCCACTGGATACAGCTTAATTTTTCTGCAGAAAAACGACAGCGATGCCGAAAGTGGGGGCGTTGGAACAGCCTCGTCGAGGGGCTTTCCAATTACGCATCAACTTGATGATGGCACGTGCAAAAATCGAGCTTCTGTGCAGGGGGTGTGCAACCTTCAGTGAACGAACACACACCTGGCAGCCTCTGACGCCTCCAGCCTCGACCGCAACCTCTCCATTCTTTCCCTCAGGTCCTCCACAGCCAATTCCGCCTCCCTCGCGTTCGCCACCTCTCCCTCCGCCCCCAGCGCTCGGCGAGACTCCGCCCGCAGCGCTCTTTCGAGGGCCGCCGCGTCGAGCTCCGCCTCGGCGGCACGGGCCTCCGCCGCCGCTGCGCGCTTGGCCGCGACCCCTTCTCCCGCCTTTGCGGACTCGGCCTCCTCGGCAAGAAACTCCGTCTGCTCTTGCACGATGGAGAGGCGCTCGGTCGTCGCTCTGTGCCAAAGGAAAGGTAAGATGGAGGGTGTACTGGTGTAGACGCACGCCGTTGTCGTTAGACCGTTGACCATAGCATCCCTACAACTCTGGGGCGGAGCGATGTGCCGGGTTTTCTCCGGCCCAGGCTAGGTTTCACAGGGGTGTACTCATAGTCGTGCATGCCGTGGTCGTTGGACCATTGACCTCGAATCCCTACAAAGCCGGGACGAAGCATGCCGGGTTCTAACCGGACCAGGCTCTCACATCACCAAGCGCGAAGCGCCGTGAGGTATTCGGCGAGTCGCATGAAGGGTGCGCTGCATCCTGCTAAGGGTGTTCGGCATCTTGTGCTTACTTCCTTGCGTACGAATGGCAGCTGGGAGGGGGGGGGGTTAATGACGATACTGGCAGGGAGTGGCGGCGGCACGCTATTCCCGTTTTGATGTACCTCCAGCGCCTTCCGTTTCGTTCTAAGGGAATTGGCTTAGTTGTCGGTGTGGGAGGGCTATTGTTTGGGATTAGCGGGTGGGAACTCCCTATGCTTCGCGGTTGGGACACGTGAGCGAGTGAGAGGCGGTTTCTTGTCGGACTTGTGCAGAGAACGGAGGCCGGCGGCGTCGAAATAAACTGCCAATAGTGAACATGCCAAGATTTGGTCTCCTCGTGGTTGCGTAGAGAAATCGAGCCTTGTAAATCGGTCTTGCGTGTGAGTCATCACTCGTACTTGTACGGAAAAATTCGAGGCAATTTCACTTGCACTTCGTTGCAGTGCCGTCGTGAACTGGGCAGAAGATACGGTGACTTTCAGAGGTGGATACCTTTGCTGACTCATATCTCGCACAAGTTCACCGTACCAAGCAATGACGAGCACGGTGCTATACTCGTCTCGCGGCCAACTGCGACCGAACACGCCACGCTGCACCAGCCAGCCATCCCGAAACATGGTGAAAAAACAATACGCACCTGCTTCTTCGAGCATCCTCTCCCCGCTGCCTCTCCGCCTTCCTCTCCCTTGCAGCTCCGCTCGCAGCCTCGACCTCAGCGCTCTCTAGGTCCTTTGCGGAAGCCTTGAGCCTCTCCAGGAGCTCCTCCCGCTCTCGTGACAACTGTTCCAGCCTTTCGGTCTTGGCGGCCGCTTCCCCCTGTAGCCGAGCAACCTTCAGGGGGCGGGCATGGACAGAGGCGGGGAAACGAGTGACGTGCTACTCTTGGTGTTGCAGACAATGGTCAGTGGTTGGAGAGCACGCCACGGCGACGAAACCTGGCCTCCGTCCTGAAGTGCACCAGCGTACGCCGCCGTGCGAGTGAACCATGTCACTGCATCATGACTCAGCTCTACGACCGGTGGAGAGCCCACGATTGAACGATCGCCGACGACGCTCGTGTGGGGTCTTTAATGAAGGGGTGAAGTCCCGGATTGACTATTGGGCACTCTTGGGTCGTCTGCTAGAACCAGGGAAATCTCAACAACAGATGACTAGACATGCAAAGATAGTGAAAAATCACGTTGGGCAAAAAAACAACGCACTTCCTATCTTCTCATGATTGAAGACATGGCGGTTTCGCACCTCCCCTTGGACGGACGCCACGCGTTTCCGAAGAGTCTCAGCGTCGGCCGTCGCCTCGCTCGCTGCCGCCGCTGCCTTTACCAAGTCCTTCTTCGTCGCGGCCAAGGTCTGGACGGCGGCATCGACGTGAAAAACAGAGAAAAGTCGACGTTGGAGTGGGTGCAGCGGGGCGATTTGGTGCAGGCTCGATGTCGTGCGCATGGGCGAGAGGGTAGAGCTATAACGAGCAACCAGGAAGAACTTCACTCCAACTTGAGACAGAAACGAACAGCCAGGAAGAACTTCACTCCACAAAAGAAGAACATCTCGATTCCACTGCATCACAGAAAAGAAACGAGAGTCTCGTCCACAATGTCGTTCCGGTGGTGGATTTGTGAGCTTCCGAGTCTTCGTTTCTGCTTGCCAAGACCGAGGTCAAAAACCTTGAGACTGGATGCTTCGATAAACAGGCCCGTGGTGAACGCCAGCGAAACGAAATTTACCTCTTCGAGTCGTGCCCGCTCGTGCGCTCCCTCCCCGACCTCCTCCCACCCTCCTTCTTCACCCTTCCCCTTCCCGGAGCTGTGGGCGGACGCTGTGTTCTCGAGTTCTGCGGTCCGTCTAGACAGACGAGCGTTGTCTTCCTCAAGCGTGCGGGCAAGAGTCTGTTGCAACAACGCACGACCAAGACACCAGCAAGACAAGCGAGGGGTATGCCAGGAGTGGTTGCTCTAGATGCCGGGGCAGACGCTGCGGGATAAACCGAATGCCACTCCCCTGCCTACTGTTCAACCGTTGATTCCTCGCCGTGTATGTGCACGTGAAGGGTGTGAAGATAGAGGCGGACGCAAGAACCGACGGTGACCGAGCGCGGTTCAACAACAACAGCAAGAGCAGCAGCAGATATAGAAAGAGACAGGGAGAGAGAGAGAGACAGAGAGACAGAGAGAGAGAGAGAGAGAGAGAGAGAGAGAGAGAGAGAGAGAGAGAGAGAG